CAAGTCAGACTTCCCAAGGTACGGGCGCAGCTGGCGCACAAGTTTTAATTGTGCAAAAGCTCCCCTGAACACCGCCGAGACCTGGGGTTCCAGGCTCAGCAATGAGTCCACGATCACTCCCAAGCTGCGAACCTGCGCCTTCAGGGGGAGTGTGACCCTGTCAAGCACAGGCTGTAACCCTATGCCTTGTTCGGCTTTTCGATTGACCAGGAGTACCTCTGTCTTGTCTGGATTTAGTTTCAATCTGTTGTCCCTCATCCAGTCCGTTACAGCGGCCAAGCACCGGTTCAGGACCTGAACAGCCTCCTTAGTAGCAGGTGGAAAGGAGTGACAGAGTTGGACATCATCTGCGTACAGATGACACCACACCCCGAAACTCCGGTAGGCTGTTAGGAGTTGTGGGAGTTGAAGTCCAAGACATCTGGAGGGCCCAAGTTTGCCCATGCCTGCACTAAAGCATTGTAGTAACAAACAATGGTTGAGCCAACCCCTTAGATATGGACACATACATAAAATGCAATAACAAAATGTATGGGGACACAATGTAGTTCATGAAAACCTTTCATCCATATTATTAAAAATATATGGTTTGTAAGATAGTAATATACATGTCCAATATTTTTGTCATATTCTTAAGTCTGTGCAACATACCTACATCTTGCAGCTGACCCACAAACATGTTGTGACACAGAGTTTAGAAAGCTTTGCATTAAGAGATGCTCAAATTCACAAATATTGTCAACCTGTACACAATTACCCCCAGGCTATGTGTTTAAGGTGTATAGGAAACACTAATGAATATTGTGTTTAAACTTGTTTATACATATGTAAAACATTTTATACATAATGAGATATCACCAAGATATCTCATTATGTATATTTTTAAGGGATACGCAAATGTGTATACAATTACCTTGAGGCTTGTGTATACAATTGTCTTGTGTATACAATTACCTTGAGGCTATATGTGTAAGGTGTATAGGAAACTTGAGTGTTGTGTTGGACATGAGATCCACCTCTGAGATACTTATAGAATCAGAGTTGGAAGAGACCTCATGGGCCATCCAGTCCAACCCCCTGCCAAGAAGCAGGAATATTGCATTCAAAGCATCCCTGACAGATCGCCATCCGGCCTCTGTTTAAAAGCTTCCAAAGAAGGAGCCTCCACCACACTCCAGGGCAGAGAGTTCCACTGCTGAACGGCTCTCACAGTCAGGAAGTTCTTCCTCATGTTCACATGGAATCTCCTTTCTTGTAGTTTGAAGCCATTGCTCCGCGTCCTAGTCTCCAGGGAAGCAGAAACCAAGCTTGATCCCTCCCCCCTGTGGCTTCCTCTCACTTATTTATACATGGCTACTTCATTTATTCTGCCTTGGTCAGATCACACCTGGAATCACCTTGTGTCCAATTCTGGGCACCACAATTGAAGGGAGATATTGACAAACTGGAATGTGTCCAGAAGCGGGTGACTAGAATGATCAAAGATCTGGAGAACAAGCCCTATGAGGAGCAGCTTAAAGAGCTGGGCAAGTTTAGCCTGAAGAAGAGAAGGCTGAGAGGAGACATGAGGAGGGCCATGTATAAATATGTGAGGGAAAGTCATAGGGAGGAGGGAGCAAGCTTGTTTTCTGCTGCTCCGAAGACTAGGATGCAATGGAACAATGGCTTCAAACTACAGGAAAGGAGGTTCCACCTGAACATTAGGAAGAACTTCCTGACTGTGAGAGCTGTTCAGAAGTGGAACTCTCTGCCCCAGAGTGTGGTTGAAACATGAATGTTGTGTTGGACATGTGTTCCATATTTGAGATACTTCATTTATTATGCCTTGGTCAAACCACCTGGAATCACACCAATTCTGGGCACAACAATTGAAGGGAGATGTTGACAAGCTGGGATATGTCCAGATAAGGGTGACTAGAATGATCAACAGTCTGGAGAACAAGCCCTATGCGGAGTGCCTGAAAGAGCTGGGCATGTTTTAATGGATTCGTTTTAATCTGTACAGCTCAAGGAGGTGGACAAGATTCTTGGAGAGGTGAGAGCGACCACATGCATCCTACACCCCTGCCCATCCTGGCTGATAAAGGAAGCCAGAGGGGATTTGGCAGGGTGGGTGAAGGTGGTGATCAATGCCTCCTTACAGGAGGGCAAATTTCCAGCGAGCCTAAACGAAGCTGTTGTAAAACCGCTGTTGAAAAAAACATCACTGGACCCTACCCAACTGAACAACTTTCGGCCAGTTTCCGATCTCAGGCTATTGCCTGGCTGTGATGCCTGCCTTGCCGCTTGTGTGTTGTTGCTGTTGGGGTTTGTGTGGGTGGGTAATATTGGGTTGTGAGGGTGCATGGCGTGGGTGGAAGGAAGAAACAGCATGGAGGAAACAAAGCACTCCAACGTTTGAAAAAGCCCCAGCATTGTAGCAGGTCTCTCTGGCCTGGCCTCTGTGCTGTACATTGCCTCAATAGAACTAGATCTCCCATCAATTTAAGCCACTCTTTGAACACAAACTATCCTTCCTAAAGGTGTGAAATCAACTTCCAAAACCACAAAGGTCTCTCTCTGCTGTTTGTTTCCTTTGTTTGCCTTGCGTTGCCAGAAAAGACATTACAAATCCCATATAGTCAAAACATTTTTCCTAAAGGTGTGAAATCAACTTTTAACAAAGCGATTCGGAAAGTTCTGATTTTTTAAAGAAAAAATTCAGAATTCCGAATTGAACCACCAGCACTCCTTATATCTGAAATTTCTTTTGGTTAAACTTTGCCTACTATGGAATCCTGGGAGAAGATGGAAACCCTTGCAAAACTAGAGCTCCCAAAATGCTGTTCTTTCCCTTATAATTCAATTAACATATTACCCATAAAGCCTTTGTGTAAGCCATTCAGGCAGGACAAAAAAAGAACTCTAGTAGGGCTGGGTGCATTCCAAAGCAAAGGGGCACCCCATCTTAATTGGGATCCAAATCAAATTGGGGAATCGGCTCAACAGGAGCTAGTGTCTGTTTCCAAAGAAAAAACTAGCATAACTGCCTCTAAGTAGTTGTAGGTTTTTTCAGGCTATATGGCCATGTTCTAGAGGCATTCTCTTGACGTTTCGCCTGCATATATGGCAAGCATCCTCAGAGGTAGTGAGGACCTCACTATCTCTGTGGATGCTTGCCATAGATGCAAGCGAAACATCAAGAGAATGCCTCTAGAACATGGCCATATAGCCCAACAAAACCTACAACAACCCAGTGATTCTGGCCATGAAAGCCTTTGACAATAAATTGCCTCGGAGTATTCCTTGCCTTGAAAAACCCAGTGAAATTCATAGGGTTGCAGAAAGTCGACGGGCAACTCAAAGGCACGTAACAATGATAAGGGTGAACTAATCTTCTGCAGGAACTCTTAAGTATATAGGCTTGAACAAGAATGTTGTAACAAAGCTGAGCAAAGTCCACACATCCCAGCCATTCTGTCCTTGCAAGAATCCTAGCCGTCAACAACCTATTTAAGACCAAAGGGCAAATCCTTACCCCTCAAGGCCTATCCGAGACGTGACTGCAGAACGTAAACAGGGCTGCTCCATAAGCCCCTTTAGATGATATAGAAAATGTTGATCCAAAGGAAATCACACGTATCTTGTGATTTTAAAGTAGGGATAAGAAGGGTGTGATCCTACAGATCTTGATGGATTAGAACTTCTGAAACAATGATGGGGGCGGTTGAGAGGTGGAGTCCAACACTTCGAAGGCTGTGTCTTGCACAGCCAAAAGAACAATGCACGAACTTGCACAATACTATGCAATGTGTGATGCACCATTTAACGATGTATAAAGCATGCATAATTCCACTTTCGTAACCTTCAATTTGGAGAACCAGCATGGTGTAATGGTTTGAGTGTTGTATTAGGACACTGGAGACATGAGTTCAAATCCCCACCCAACCACAAACCCATTGGGTACCCTGGAGTAAGCAGCATTCTCTCAGCCTCAGAGGAAAGCCAACACAAGTCCTGCCCAGAAAACCCCACAATAGGATTGCCTTTAGTCAGAAAAGACCAGAAGGTACACAGCACCCATCTTGTCCCAAAATACAATCAAATACATCTGTGGTTCTCAACCTTCCTAATGTACCCTAGGACAGTCTCCAACAACGCAACCCAAGCTTCCATAGCAGTGGTTCTCCACCTTCTTAATGCCGCGACCCCTTAATACAGTTCCTCATGTTGTGGTGACCCTCAACCATAACATTATTGTTGTTGTTACTTCATAACTGTAATTTTGCTACTGTTGTGAATCATAATGTAAATATCTGATATGCAGGATGTATTTTCATTCACTGGACCCGATACGCCCAAATTTGAATAGTGGTGAGGTTGGGAGGAGGGATTGATTTTGTCATTTGGGAGTTGTAGTTGCTGGGATTTATAGTTCACCTACAATCAAAAAGAATTCTGAACTCCACCAATGATAAAACTGAACCAAACTTAGCACACAGAACTTCCATGACCAACAGAAAATACTGGAATTGTTTGGTGGGCACTGACCTTGAGTTTTGGAGTTGTAGTTCACCTACATCCAGAAAGCACTGTGGACTCAAACAATGATGGATCAGGACCAAACTTGGCACGAATCCTCAATATGCCCAAATGCAAATACTGGTGGAGTTTGGGGAAAACAGACCTTGACATTGGGGAGTTGTAGTTGCTGGGATTTATAGTTCAGCTACAATCAAAGAGCATTGTGAACTCCACCAACTAAGGGATTGAACCAAACTTGARACACAGAACTCCCATGACCAACAGAAAATACTGGAATTGTRTGGTGGGCATTGACTTTTGGGTTTTGGAYTTGTAGTTCACCTACATCCAGAGAGCKRRGTGYACTCAAACAATGATGYATRAGGACCAAACTTGSCACYAATCCTCAATATGCCCAAATGTGAATACTGGTGMAYTTTGGGGYAAATAGACCTTGARATTGYGGAGTTGTAGTTGCTGGGATTTATAGTTSACCTACAATCAAAGAGRATTCTGAACTCCACCAACGATMGAATTGAACCAAACTTGGCACACAGTTCTCCRYTGACCAACAGAAAATACTGGAAGGGTTTGGTGGGCATTGACCTTGAGATTGGGAGTTAATAGTTCACTTCCCACACAYAACCCCAATTGAAAATACAGTGTTTCCTGATGGRCTTTGGTGACCCCTCTGACACCCCCTTGAGACCCCCTCCCAGGGGTCCCGACCCACAGGTTGYGAAATGATGACATACATCACATACATGACATACATGAAGGAACTTATGTAACAGGATGCCGGTCAATGCACCAATTCAARAGCCCACACTRYGGTCACAGCAATTTTGTTTTTTTACTGTCAAAATTAACAAGCAAKGAAGAGGCACCTTCCAACTTCCTAGTTAAAAAATATCCTACATCAGAAAAAAAAAAGGAAACAAAAACCGCAGATCAAACAGTCTGCAGAAAACAAAACATTAAGACTCAGAAAGAGACAAGTCCATAACCAGTCCGTCCAACAACAGGAAAAGGGAGGGTGAGGGGGTCGTCTCCATTCAGGAACCTTGGTTTGTTAGCAGCTGCTTCTAGAGGTGAAAGCTTCCAGTCCAAACAGGTTTGCACAAATTCAAGGTTTCAAGTCCCGGGACTTCCGTCAAGTCCTCCTAAGTCTGAAATGTCTCTCCCTTCAAAAAGCAAAACCGTGTCGGTCTCAGTTCTCTCCCGTGTGAACGAATTCCTCCGCCGCCTGGGACACCGTGCTCAGATACTGCCAGCTCAGGGCCACCAGAAGCATGACGCAGGACAAGTAGATGGGGGAGTAATGGGTCCGAGAGACCAGCTCCCCCCCGGGCAAACTCATCGAGCGGACCGAGGCGACGATTTGCTGGGTTCTGCTGGAGGAAGGGTCTGTGCTGGGGATCTTCTGGTAGATCTGTCAAGAAAAGAGTCAACAACCAATAATAATAATAATAATAATAATAATAACAACAACAACAACAACAAACCTTTATTTATACCCCGCTACCATCTCCCAAAGGACTCAGTGCAGCTTACAATAGGCCGAGACCCAATACAACAATGAAAGACAACAACAATACAGCAGTAAATAAAAAATCAAAACAGTAAAAATTAACAATAAACACGACACAATTAAAACCAATGTCAGGGCCAAATGTAGTGGTTAAAAGTTTTAAAAAGCTGGGCATGACCGGGTAAAATGGATAGGTATTTGGCGAATAGGTAGGGTATGCGGACAGACCTAAATCTCTAGTAAAGTGCATTTGGGACAAAGTGCTTGTAGTTTCCTCTTCTGGGAAGGCACACTGAATCATACAATCATAATGTTGGAAGAGACCTCATGGGCCATCCAGTCCAACCCCCTGCTAACAAGCAGGAAATCTGCATTTAAAGCACTCCCAACAGATCTACTCTCAAGCAACAGGATTCCGACTGAAGGATTTACTAGAAAGTTTTTTAAAAAGCATTATCCTGTCCCTGACATCCAACTCACCTCTTCCACATACTGGTACATGATGGCTTTGACAGCCTGGATGTTGGTGGCATCCATCATCAATGTGACGGCTTGCCCCTTCCGGATCTTCACCACCCCTCGGAAGACCTGCTGGTTGTTGTAACAGGCTGCCAAGGTGGCAATGGCCATTACCTAAAACAGAAAAGAGATGGAAATCACATAACAAAAGAGTCCAGCCAGGCATGTAGCCGGGGGGGGGGGGGGGCTTTCCCTCCAGCGCCTCCTCAATTACTTCTGGGGACCAAGTCACAGCAAGAGGCCCAGGGGCGACGAGGTGCCTCCTCCGCCGCTTCTGGAGCAGTAGCAGCCGAAGCTCGAAGGAGGAAGGTAAAGAGGGTGAGGAGGGAAGAAGAGCGGCGAGCGGCACCAAGAGGCCCAGGTGGCAACGAGGTGCCCCCTCCGCCGCTTTTGGAGCAGCAGAAGCAGCAAGGAGGAGGAAGGTAAAGAGGGTGAGGAGTCAGTGGGGGGGGGGGGGGGTGTCCCTACTTCGTGGAATTTTACTTATTGCGGGTGGTCCTGGAACGTAAGACCCGCGATAAGTGAGGGAACACTGCATAGGTGTCATGATGTCTAATGATGAGGAACAAAGTTGTAGTCCAGACCATATAAAATGACATGATGGGCTGGATTTCACCCACAAGCCTGGGTTTGAAGGAAGTGGTCTCTAGGCCCTCCAATGTCACTTCAATTCAATACCATTTGTTATTGTCAACAGTCTGCGTATCTATATAAGTCTGGGAATGTATCCTCCCTGGATATGGAGATCATACCATATAGTAGGTTCAAAGCTCCCTTATGATAAGAGTAACTTAATACAAACTTCAGACTGCTGTCAATATTCCTCTCCTTTTGTGCATCTCAGAAGGTTAGGAGGATGGGAGATGCCGAGAGAGTGAAAGATAGCTCCAGCTACACCACCATCTTTCCGTCTCCCCACCATATTGTAAACTGTTTTAAACTATTTCTGTTTAGACATTGTTCCTCTAATTTAAAATGGTCTGTACTGATTCTACCACAATCCATCCTTGACATGATACAGTAAGTGGCATGATATAACTATTTGGCTGACATTGACATATTGCAATTTCAGTGAGATACATATGAGTAACTGCTCTGTATTCAGTAAGATTATATAATCTTATAAAACTATGCAAATGGTCTAGCCCCAGAACCCACCTTAAACAGCCAGCAGCCTGATATGTTCAGGGGCAATCAGGATACAGACAGAAAATAGTATTTCCAAACTGCTCCCACTACAAAGCGAGTCCACAACAATCAGAATAAGAACACCTGAGCTTCCAACCAATTTGTGTAGCTTGCTGTCGACCTTTGCAGCAAAAAGACAATTGAATCTGTCAAGTAGGAAATTTAGGTACCACTTATGCGGGGAGGCTAATTTACGACACCATAAAAATCTCCAGCAAGCATGCAAAGAATGAGGAAGTACTTCATCAGTGTCACAAATGGTCAGTGAAGCGACAGCTCCCCTGGTGGCCAGAATACCCTCATGAAAAAGCTGGAATGTTAAATTGCCTCTGTGTGTCTGTCTATATATGTTGTGTGTCTATGGCACTGAATGTTTGCCATGTATATGTACATTGTAATCCGCCCTGAGTCCCCTGCGGGGTGAGAAGGGCGGAATATAAATACTGTAAATAAATAAATAAATTCATGCCACAAACTTGCTTACTGGCAAGAGTGGGTTGGATCATCGATCATCCTGAACATACCCTCCTTTGTGTGATCCTGCTCCTGAGTGTTTAGGTAGGAATGGAGGGGAGGGTTGGCAAAGAGATGTTAACTATGGTGCAAAGACCTTCAGAGAGCACTCCAACCTACCTGGGGGATGGCACAGAAGTTGAAAACGCTCTGGTTCTTCAGTCGGGACAAGTATGTCAAGACGTCGGGGACGTGATGCAAGGCGTTGGTGATGAGCTCATTCATGCACTGGACGGCTTTATCGATGTTCTCGGGCTTGGCCAGATCTGACACCTTCTTTGCGTACTTGCTCCACACCTGGGAACACCCAAAGCATTAGGAACACCTAGCAAGCAAGGGTGGGTGGGATGTGGCAATGCCACACCTAGAAGTTTCCCACTCCACCCCTTCCCAAAAAAGATTTGAGAAATTCAGCCATTCTTATTTGCAGGCATTACTGCTGCAATTGCTGCATTATTCTTATATACATTAAAGCTGATTCGATTTATGGTGGATCTTGTGGCGATTTCTTCAGAGGTTTGCCATGCTGAGTTGCTGAGTAAGATTTCAACCCTGGTCCTAGTCCAATGCTCCAACAACTAAACCTGGATGGCCAAAATGCAGCTCTTGGACATGAACTCCAAAGCCCATGTTGGCCCCTGCTACTTCCCCAACATCTCACAAGTCTCAAGAAACATTTCTTTTTACAAAAAACCAACCCAAATATTAGGTTTTTTGCCCCCCCCCTCAAAAAAAATAATGAAAAGCCTTCTAAATATACTGAAACACTCATCAGATACTTCTCCTCCCAGCTTTTCTTCCAAGTATTCACAGAGCACAGAATGTAAAGAGTCCCCAAGGGCAATCTGATTCAGCAACATCCATATATATCAGTGGTTCCCAAACTGTGGCCCATGGACCACCAGTGATCTCCAAGAATTAAAATATGGTCCGCGGCCTCACCGTTACTACACCGTTGCAACGAGAGGGACTGGTCTCATGAAACCCTCTTATAATGCTGAGGAAACGGGGATGTTGGGAGGGGAGAGGATGACTACCCATGAAAGGCATGACAACAAGCCTTCTGACTGCTCCTTCTTCTCCTTCCCCCTAAGAAGAGCCATTCCATGTGGTGCCTGGAAGCAGGAGCGCCTTGGTGTTTTTAGGCCTGCTCCTGGTGTTATGTGGAGTTCTGATTCAGTAAACTGCATTGTATAGACCACATCAGCTCTAGATTATTAAATACGGTTTTCTGTGAGCAAGCAGATGGCGACTACTGGATGGCATATGTTCTGTATTAGAAACCAGAGCTGACATGGTCTATCCAATGCACTTTTCTGAACCAGCACCTCAAATAACTAAACCAAATCTAAAGTTGACCAAAAACTGATTCATAACATTTTTGGTCCCTGGTCAAAGTGGTCTCTAGTCAAAAAAAGACTGGGAACCACTGCTATATATCAAGCAATGGCCAATTCACATCCACCTTTTTCCTGCTCCTCCAAAATCTGCCCTTGCTCCTGGCAATGGCCAAATCCCGTCTCCTCTGTGCTCCTATGCACCAAGATCAACGAATTCAGAAAAGGAATTGATTCTAATCCACATCTTTTCTGAGAGGGTCACCCAGGTGAAATAAATGTATTGGAAAATAGCAGGTATTGTGTTTCTGCACTTTTGTAAAGGAGGAAAAAAACAACAGTATTGCTACTAATGTTCAACTTAAAACTATTTTCGTGTACTTTAGTACCTTTAACTTGGTTCTACCCTCTGTGGAGAAAAGAACAAACATACACCCTCCTTCTTTCTGACAGTCCTTGAGATGTTTAAAGAGTAAAGGGCACACTCCAATTCTGGAAATCCAATGTGACACAAGTGATTGGAATGCTGGACTAAGACTCTGGAGATCCCCCTCAGCATCGGAAACCTCTGGGCAGTTTTGGGCAGGCCACACTCTCCGTCCCAGAAAACCTCACAAGAGGTTTGCTTGGCTCTCCATAAGTTACAAAGGACTTGAAGACGCATCAACAACACTGTGCTAACACTCCAATTTCTTCAGTTTAGACTGTTTTGTTGTTGAAGGCTTTCATGGCCAGAATCACTGGGTTGCTGTGAGATTTCAGGGCTGTACAGACATGTTCCAGAGGCATTCTCTCCTGATGTTTCACCCACATCTATGGCAGGTGTCCTTAGAAGTTGTGAAGTCTACTAGAAGCCAGGAAAATGGGGTTTATATATCTGTGAAATGTCCAGAACTCTTGTCTGTTGGAGGCAAGTGTGAATGTTGCTAATTAGCCACCTTGAGGAACAGTAAAAAAACAGATAAATTCCAGACAAGAAACAATCAGGGCCAGCTAACACTTCCAAACAAAGGATTCCCCCAGGCAGGAAGCAGCCTGACTTTGAAGCTGAAAGGCCATTCAATGCTAACAAAGGTGGCCAATTTGCAACATTCACACTTGCCTCAGGCCAGGCATGTAGCCGGGAGGGGGGGGGACTTGAGGGGCTTCAGCCGCCCCCCCCCCCCCAAATTCCTTACTGGTGCATGATTTAAACTGTTATGTTTATTCATATCATGATCTGATCACCATACTCAATATATCCCATATGCATGGGGGTATTGGGGTAATGATACAAAAGGTTTGCTAGGCTAGACCCTCTTTCACTCAGACTCAGCCCCCCCCCCCCCCCGAATCGAAATCCTGGCTATGGGCCTGCCTCAGGCAGACAAGAGTTCTTTCTCCCACCCTGGATATTCCCCAGATATATAAACCCCATTTGTATAGTTTCCAACAGACCTCACAACCTCTGAGGATGCCTGCCATAGATGTAGGTGAAACGTCAGGAGAGAATGCTTCTGGAACATGACCATACAGGCCAGAAAACTCACAGCAACCCAGTGATTCTGGCCATGAAAGCCTTCGACAACAAAACAGTTTTGTCTGATTTTCCCTCCAGGCCTGACTTTTTTCTCCAGCTTAGGTCTTAAATCATTGTTTTTGGGGCAATACTGTTGTTTTCAAATTAACTGAATAATGAGAGATGACAGGGACTGAATGCAATCTACCATCTACCACTCAACGGTGGGTCTTTCCCAGCTCAAATGTCATTTGCCTCTCTTCCCTGCCATTGGCCCAACCCTTACTTTCCTTACCTCCCGAGGCCAAAACTCTCTGCCCACGAGTTGGTCTTCATAGTAATCCCGGATGATGTTGGTTTTCTGCAGGAAAAGCCCCATGGAGTTTGCGAGCTCCATGTCCTGGCCAACAATAGGGTCCTCCAGCTTGGATGCAGAGAAGAGCTGTGAGAGACCGATCCCCACCAGGCCGGCGACATAGTGACAGTACTAGAGAGGTTCAAAAATGCCAAGATTTAAGGTATATAGGCTGGGCAAAGTAAGACCCTAAAAATACTTTTGTTTATAGTCACACCTCCACACTTGCAGGGTCAAATGAACTATTTTGATAGTTCATAGATTTGAGTAATATGACCTTCCTAGGAATCTCTATAGAGCAGGGATGGGCAAACTTCGGCCCCCCAGGTGTTTTGGACATCAACTCCCACAATTCCTAACAGCCTACCTAAAAATAAAATAAAATACCAAGATACTAATTTTCTTTACGGCTCTAGCCCAGTGTACCTGTCCTTTTATCTCCTTTTATGTCCAGCCTAGAAATTTAAGATCTTAAGATTTAAGACCAGGCCTTTGGGTGATCTGGTAGACTGACAAGGACAATGACAATGACGACAAGAGCTAGGGAAACGGATTATGATAAGCTGAATGGAATCACTCATTACAGAACTCGGCGAAATGATGGCCATCAGGCTGGCTTCTTTTCTAGTAGATTTTATTGTATTAACTCAGTGTTTTAATTATTTATACTTACTGTTGTTGTCTATTTTATTGTGTTTAATTGTAGGCATCGAATATGTGCCGGCTGGAAGCCGCCCTGAGTCCCCCCTAGGGGGTTGAGAAGAACGGGGTAAAAATACCCGAAATAAATAATCATATCATCATCATCATCATATTTAATTACTTATTAATCGCCCTCCATCCGAGAATGCTCTAGGCGATTTACAGCTAAATTGTAAAAGATAAAATACATACATACAGAAATTAAAAATTAACAGAGATCGAATGCTCTAGTAAAAAGCCAGGTCTTAAGTGCGAGAGTAAAAGGCCCTAAGTCACGCATGGCTCTCATGTAGGGTGGCAAGGAATTCCACAAGGCAGGGGCAGAAATAGAAAAAGCTCTGCGTCTGGTCCTTTCCAAGTGCACTTCTCTAGGACCCGGTATATGGAGTAAGTTGTGTTGGGCTGGTCGTTGCGACCTCCGATGATGGGAGAAGGAGAGGCGGTCCCTAAGGTACGATGGACCCTGGCCGTAAAGAGTTTTAAAGGTCAGAACTAGCATCTTATACAGGCCACGGTACTCAGTTGGAAGCCAATGTAAATGTTGCAGCACTGGTGTTATATGGCATTTCATGGGCGTTCTTGTGAGTAACCTGGCTGCCGCATTCTGAACAATACGAAGCTTTCGGGTCGTAGACATCGGAGGCCAACATACAGGGCGTTGCAATAGTCCAGCCTAGACGTGACCGTGGCATGGATGACAGTTGCCAGAGCCTCATCAGATAAGTAGGGTGCCAATTGCCTCGCTTGTCGTAGATGGAAAAAGGCCTGTTTGCTGGCAGCAGCGACCTGAGCTTCCATTGTTAGCTGTGAATCCAGGACGACACCTAAGCTCTTAACAGTGGTCGATGGAGATAGGGCGGCACCATCGAAGGTGGGGAATGGAGGAGTCAGACCTGCCAGGCGGCCATGCCAGAGAATCTCAGTCTTCGCCGGGTTCACCTTCAGTCTGCTAGCACGTAGCCAGTTTGACAGAGCTTCCAGACATAGGGTGAAATTGTCTGGAATTGACGTTGCTCCAGGCTCCAGCGCAGAAGGAGTTGGGTATCGTCCGCATATTGGTAGCAGTCCAGGCCGAAACTCCGAGCCAAACTAGCAAGGGGTCTAACGTAGATGTTGAAGAGAAGAGGAGAGAGAATTGCACCTTGGGGGACCCCACATAGGAGGGGGGAATCTATCGAAGACTTGATCCATGTAGTATGACCATCTGGAATATTGTGTCCAATTCTGGGCACCACAATTCAAGAGAGATATTGACAAGCTGGAATGTGTCCAGAGGAGGGCGACTAAAATGAACAAGGGTCTGGAGAACAAGCCCTATGAGGAGCGGCTTAGGGAACTGGGCATGTTTAGCCTGAAGAAGAGAAGGCTGAGAGGAGATATGATAGCCATGTATAAATATGTGAGAGGAAGCCACAGGGAGGAGGGAGCAAGCTTGTTTTCTGCTTCCTTGGAGACTAGAACGCGGAACAATGGCTTCAAACTACAAGAGAGGAGATTCCATCTGAACATTAGGAAGAACTTCCTGACTGTGAGAGCCGTTCAGCAGTGGAACTCTCTGCCCCGGAGTGTGGTGGAGGCTCCTTCTTTGGAAGCTTTTAAGCAGAAGCTGGATGGCCATCTGTCAGGGGTGATTTGAATGCAATATTCCTGCTTCTTGGCAGAATGGGGTTGGACTGGATGGCCCATGAGGTCTCTTCCAACTCTTTTATTCTATGATTCTATTATTTATTTAATAATAAATAAATGCGTTAATTGAGGTATAATTGTACTAACGTGGGGAAGAAAGAAACTAAAAAAGCATCTTTCCTAACAGGTGGCAGGTTTTGAAATCTTTTGGCTTGCTCTCTCTGTTTGGATCCTAACTAATGCTGCTTGGTTGCTGGAAAGTGGTTTGCGATGCAATCTCTTCCCCTTGGCATCGCTTTCGGAAGCCTTGTTTCTCTGGGCGTACAATGGGAGTAGTTTTTCCCCCTGAGGACAGGTGTGTACAGATAGGCACAATACCTGCCTGAACCTGCTTGAGAATGCCAGCCCAGGTATTTATTTGCATATATACTTGGCATTCCACAGGTGCTATTGGGTTCGCTGCTCCTGCCTTTCACCCCCTTTTTTCCCCTTTCACTCCCCTTCCCTCATATGTTTTCTCCTTTCCTCCCTCCCTATCTGCTCCGTTTCCTTCTTTTTTCTCATTCTTTTCCCCTTCCTTCCCTTTTCTTTCATCTCCAGTTCTGAGACGGCCAACCTCACAATGTCTCGATGGCAACATGACTCTGTTTGTGATTATTTCCTTCCTCTCTCCCTCTCCCTCATACACATGTCACCTTTCTTTCCAAGTGACACCACAGAGGGTCAGCAACAGCCAATCCACTAATAATAATAAAATAATAATAATAATAATAATAATAATAATAATCAAATTTGTAATCCTAAGAGCCCCCGGTGGTGCAGTGGGTTAAAGCACTGAGCTGCTGAGCTTGTTGATCGAAAGGTCGCAGGTTCGATCCCGGGGAGCGGCGTGAGCTACCGCTGTCAGCCCTAGCTTCTGCCAACCTAGCAGTTCGAAAACATGCAAATGTGAGTAGATCAATAGGTACCGCTCCGGCGGGAAGGTAACGGCGCTCCATGCAGTCATGCCGGCCACATGACCTTGGAGGTGTCTACGGACAACGCTGGCTATTCGGCTTAGAAATGGAGATGAGCACCACACCCCAGAGTCAGACATGACTGGACTTAATGTCAGGGGACTACCTTTACCTTTACCATCTCCCGCAGGACTCAGTGCGGCTTACAAGAGGCCGAGCCCAAATACATCAATAAAACAACAACAACAATACAACAATAAATAAACTCATAAACAAAGCAAAAACAATAACAATAATATATCCACTGATATCAAGGAGCTACTTATTTATCATATTCTTAACCTGCCCTATCTCACCCCAAGAGGGTCTCAGAGCAGTTTATAGTTTGCCACGATTTGATGCCACATCAAAACATAAACATAACAGATTACACATACACATACATTGAACATTAAATCATTAAACATAAAACAGTAACACATAAATACAAATTAATACAAATTAAAACAGCAATTAAAACAACCACAGAGTTCGTAATTAGAGCCCATGAGCCATTCCAGTCTATTCCAGTCAAATTTCAAAAAAACAAACAATACCTTTCTCAAATAACTCGGGCACCGCCGGGCCCCCAAGTTGGTAAATAATAAGGGAAAGTCCTCTTCTGAGGATTGTGAAGCTTCATTATGTTCACGTAAAGGGAAATAGTATTTCAAATAAGCATGAATTAAGCCAAACTACAAACCTAATTCTTCTTTTATCCTATCTCATGAGAATTTTTCACTACAGACATAAGTTCGAAGTAAGCTTCCAACCCCATTCTGACTCCATCTACAGTACCATATAGATGAGGTCCAAGTCTTTTCTTCTGGCAGGTGAAGACAAATGTGTTGTCTTCACCTGTAGCTATGACAGCTAGATAGTAGCCAGATGCATTAAATCACTACAGATCGAGAGGTCATGAGTTCTAAGCCAGCCCGGGTCAGAGTGAGCTCCTGACCATTAATAGTCTAGCTTGCTGTTGATCTATGCAGCCCGAAAGACTGTTGCATCTGTCAAGTAGGAAATTTAGATACCAATTTATGCAGGGAGGCTATTAACTAATTTACGACACCATAAAACCTTCCAGCAGCGTGTGTAAGAATGAGGAAGTATTCCATCAAGGACTCGGTGTCACAAGTGGATGGTGAAGTGGCAGCTCCCCCTGTGGCCGGAATCGAGTATACCTTCATGAAGCCAGAAAGCTGGGAATGTTAAATTGCCTCTGTGTCTGTCTATATATGTTGTATGTCTAAATGGCATTGGATGTTTGCCATGTATATGTGCATTGTAATCTGCCCTGAGTCTGATGTGGGGTGGAATATAAATACTATAAAAATAAATAACTCTGTCAGCTTTGGAAACAGTAATAGATTTCTGCCTTGGAATGTCAGAACATGGATAGAGTGCATCCCAGCAGCCAAAGCTTTGTAAAGGCATGATTTTGGTCAATCAGGAGTTGATATCCACCAGGTCTCGGCGGTGGACAGGGGAGCTTTTGCACAATTAAAACTTGTACGCCAGCTGCGCAAGTCTGACTTGGCCACGGTGGTACATGCTCTGGTTACATCCCGTATAGACTACTGCAACGCTCTCTATGTGGTGTTGCCTCTGAAGACTGCCCGGAAGCTACAACTAGTACAACGAGCGGCAGCCAGGTTACTAACGGGAGCGGGGTACAGAGAGCATACTATTCCTCTGTTGCGCCAGCTCCACTGGCTGCCAATCAGCTTCTGAGCACGATTCAAAGTGCTGGTGTTGACCTATAAATCCCTAAACGGCTCTGGCCCTATTTACCTGTCCGAACGGATTCTCCCCTATGAACCATCAAGGTTGTTAAGATCTTCTGGAGGGACCCTGCTCTCGGTCCCACCGCCTTCGCAATCGCGTTTGGTGGGGACGAGGGACAGGGCCTTTTCTGTGGTGGCCCTTCGGCTTTGGAACTCCCTCCCAATGGAGATTAGATCTGCCTCTTCCCTCCTGACGTTTAGAAAGCTGTTCAAAACATGGCTTTGGGATACTGCATTTGCAGAATGTTGACTGAGTCAAGAACTGCTGACCTTTCTGGCAGATGGCAATGAATTTGTGATTCTTTTGGACGAACTGATTTTTGCTGTAATTTGTATGAATTGTATGAAGTGTATTTTAATGTATTTAATATTGATGACCTATAATGTTTTTCTTATTGTATTGAATTTTATGTTGTTAGCCGGCCTGAGTCCCTGCCCGGAGGTGAGAAGACGGGGGTATAAAAACTCTAAATAAATAGATATATTATGTCTTGGATTGTTGAATTTTGTTCTTTCTATGTTGTACACCGCTGTGAGTCGCCCCCGGGCTGAGAACAGCGGTATATAAGCAAAGTAAATAAATAAATAAATAAATAAACAAACAATTTTCCTGGGGAGAGCACTGACCTTGTCCCATTCTTTCTCGGATTCCACCTTCTTCTCCAAGAATTCGGCCATCCCGAGGCCCATCTTGTGGCAAATGTCGGCGATCACATCCCGATAGACCTTGGCCAGGTTCCGGAACTCCAAGGAGATCTGGGCACAAGAGGAAAATGAACTAAATCTCCAAACAGATGCAGGACAAATACAATCCAGGGAAGCCAGCTGACACTTTTATCTGCAAAGCCCAAACAGGGCATTTCAAAAAGTTGGAGCCAGTTTGAAATCACTGTGTCTCTGAAACCATATACCACTCATGAATGAAACTCTTACCACATGAAAGGGTGAGGCATTGAGCTTCAAATGATGATTGCAAGATGCCCAAAGCCATTCACAATATGAGGCATTTTGTGTTTAGCAAGACTGAATCCGTAATTGCAATGCAGCATGTGTTGCAACAGTATTTGGTCATTGATCTTGTACCTTTTTGTGGAATTGTATCATGTTGCCATTATGAAATATACTGCTTTGAAATTGGGTCAATCATTTTGAAACACCCTTTTTAATCTTAGACTACTTTAATGTTAAGTGGGCAATTCCACTCTATTGGTAGGGCCAAGTCAGCCTGTTGGACCATCCATGGTCTGTTTGGGCTGTACAAAATCAGGAAAAAATAAAATAAAGTGCTTGGAAATCCACTTCTGACTTGAAAACACACGACTGAATATTCATTCATTCCACAGTACAATGAATCTTTGGCACAGGTATCTCCTAGGTTTTGGTTCCAGCACACACACACACACCACAGACGTTGAAGACTAAAAGTATATAATCTATCGATCTGGACCAAACTCTACACAAATACTCAATATGCCCAAATGTGAACACTGGTGGAGTTTGGGGAAAATAGAATCTTGACATTTGGGAGTTGTAGTTGCTGGGATTTATAGTTCACCTACAATCACAGAGCATTCTGAACCCCACCAACGATAGAATTGGGCCAAACCTCCCACACAGAACCCCCATGTGGGCCACAGCAACGCGTGGCAGGGGGTAGCTAGTAAATAAATAAATATCCCTGTTTTCCTCTGAAGTTCCTCTTCAGGTGGCAAAAGGAAATAAGACTGTTTCACTTCACTCTAAAAGGGACTGTGGAGGTCAGTGGAGGTATTTGGGCACAGAACACACTAATCCACACAATATCCACAGTATTAAAATACACAACAATAATGCAGAAGAGGAGTGATGCCGCAGCTGTGCCATCGGGACCATTGCACATGAAGCATGACTGTCGCACAAGTTGAGGAAAAGGCTGCCCTAGGATAATGGGAATGCAAGGAAAGAGGGCAAAGGCCCCAGACAAAGCCATGGCACATTGGTAATCCAGATTGGAGGACATGTGTGCCCCAAGTCAAGCAGGAAATATGTCCCACATTTTGCAGTGCTCTGCTGTGCTGTGCAAACCCCATTACACAACATGGTATCTTGTGTAATGCTCTATTGTGCATTGTTTTACTCCTCCATTCCCAATACAAAAGCATGTGGAGATGGTTGAAGAATATGGTAAACAAAGCAAGCATATACACCAAAGATCAGAGCAGGCAATGGCTCACCGTTGGGAAATCCTCCAACACTTGCTTGTCCTTCTCGTTGCTCTCCATGAACCGCCAATCCGGCTGATAAAGGTAGGAGTGGAAATTGTGCAACATGGGGACCTTGGTTTCCAAGTTGATCGTCATGTCATCCTCCACTGTGTCTAAAGCCCGGAGGACCAAATAGAAGATGCAAACGGCATGGCTGTAGAGACAGGAGAGAAGAAGGTCATTTGTGACTTGGATGCCAATGGAGAGGAAAGAGAATAAGCCTTTCCTTGAAGCCCAATCCAAGAATTTCAAGCCACTCAAAACACAATGGGACAATTCTTAGTAAGAAGGCCTGTACGACCTGTGGGACAAAGTCTGTATTATTAAACCATGACCCAGTGAAATGTCCTAGGTCTTAATAGAAAGGCGGGGGGAGGTCTTCTCTACCGTAGCATCCACTGGGTGAAATAATCTCCCCACTTAAATCACTGCAAAATGTTTCTACAACAAAAAACTTACATTAGAAATTTGAAATTGAACATTTTAATTATTTTATTATGATTTTTAAAAATATTATTTGAATAATGAGATATCTGTATTTGGACAAAATTAAAGGAAATAGAATAAGTATGGACAGGACAAGGAAACACAGGGACCTGACCAAGAGGCCTCTTGAAGCTTTACCCACAAAACATAACAAAAAAAAATCCAAATAGCATGCAAAAGTTACCTGCTCACGTATGCAGGGAAAGTCAGGACTAAAGTGAAAGATACAAACTGTATATATCATCAGTCTAAGATGACACATCAAGTTTCAAAGTACATCAATAACCAGAACTTCAGATCCTCATGTCCCAGGACACCATAGAATCCTAGAGTTAGAAGAAACCTTGTGGGCCATCCAGTCCAACCCCCTGCCGAGAAGCAGGAAAATCACATTCAAAGCACCCCAGACAGATGGCCATCCAGCCTCTGCTTAAAAGCCTCCAAAGAAGGAGCCTCCACCACACACCAGGCAGAGAGTTCCACTGCTGAACGGCTCTCACAGTTAGGAAGTTCTTCCTAATGTTCAGATGGAATCTCCTCTCTTGTAGTTTGAAGCCATTGTTCCGCGTCCTAGACTTCAGGGAAGCAGAAACAAGCTTGCTCCCTCCTCCCTGTGGGTTCCTCTCACATATTTATACATGGCTATCATATCCCCTCTCAGCCTTCTCTTCTTCAGGCTAAACATGCCCAGCTCCTTAAGCCGCTCCTCATAGGGCTTGTTCTCCAGACCCTTGATCATTTTAGTCGCCCTCCTCTGGACACATTCCAGCTTGTCCATATCTCTCTTGAATTGTGGTGCCCAGAATTGGACACAATATTCCAGGTGTGGTCTAACCAAAGCAGAATAGAGGGGTAGCATGACTTCCCTAGATCTAGACACTATGCTCCTATTGATGCAGGCCAAAATCCCATTGGCTTTTTTTGCCGCCACATCACATTGCTGGCTCATGTTTAACTTGTTGTCCACGAGGACTCCAAGATCTTTTTCACACGTACTGCTCTCGAGCCAGGCATGTCCCCCATTCTGTATCTTTGCATTTCATTTTTTCTGCCAAAGTGGAGTATCTTGCATTTGTCACTGTTGAACTTCATTTTGTTAGTTTTGGCCCATCTCTCTAATCTGTCAAGATCAGTTTTGAATTCTGCTCCTGGGGAGAATCACCCTCTGGGTTTTTTCACTTAAGCAATTACAGATCCACTAATCGTAGTTTTGCTTAGCCCACATTTGAATAGTTTGTTTGCTAGAAAGTCATGGGAGACCTTGTCAAAGGCTTTACTGAAATCCATTCTAACCATGATTAATACCTTGGCTTTGCTATCCTCGAGACTTGCTTTATTCTTGCTTTCTTTAAGCCACCCAAATCACCGCATCGTATTAAGACACAGTCATGCAGCAGGCTTGCTTTCCAGGATTAGGAGTCAGGGCAGCTCAGCCCGAAGCACCTTTCTCACTTCATTTAAATACAGATTAAGAAGCTGGCAAGAGAAATAATTATTTCTCTTGCCAACTTGTTAATCTTCATTAAAATTATCATAATCCAGAAATCTTGCCCTGAGTGTTGTTCTTGGAATATGTAACTGATCCCCTTCGTGGGCCAGATCTAATTTCATTCTTTCGGTTTCAACAACTCACTCTGCCTTTGCTTCTCAATTAAACCCTGCATGGATTGGACACTTGGGCCTCAGGTTGACCCCTTACATGTGGATTGTGGTTGGGTTGTTGTGGTTAAAGTGACAGGCCCTACACACACTTAACAGGGACAGAGGGAGATAGCACATGTAATATACCAGTATAAATCATTGGCCTTACAATCATTGCTGCTCTTACATAGTTGGTTCTTTAGGAACCAATTATACTATAATTGGTTCTTTCCTCTCAATGACTACCCCATCTCTATTCCAGCTCTTTCCTTGTCACTGTTGAATCCCTGTTTTTGTTACACTGCTTTCCCTTTGCAGCATTCACTGTTTTCTGCTGCTCCAAGACACAGAACCATGGAAAAGTGTGAATTTAGGAAGATATTCCTGACAATTAGAGCTGTAGAATAGTGGAATACGCTGCCTCGGATGTGGCAGAGTCTGCTTCCTAAACAAAAGCTTGAATGGCCATCTGCCAGGAGGGCTTTGATTGTGTCTTCATACATAGCAGAATGGAGTTGGAGTGGGTGGTCTCTTCTAACTCTAGGATTCTATGGTTCTTTCTTTTGTTTACCCAGTCCCTCCTCTTTTCCTCCTTGTTCTCATTCCCTGTAAAAATATTCAAAATGTAGATTACTAAAAGGTCTCTTCCAACTAGGATTCTATTATCTGAATTTCTCCATATATGAATTATGAGGATGTTGAAGACATACTTTCTGTGACTACAGTACAGGCAATGAAACTTCATCACAGAAAGGCATCAGACACTCCTCAGCTGATCCTACACAAACAGTGTGGGCATGCCTACAACAGGCAAACTAACAGCAGCTGCCTCTGTAACTTGTTACTGGACCCTTCTACAATGGGCCCTTCCACACATTATTATTTATTTACAGCTTTTATATTCCGCCTTTCTCACCCTGCAAGGGGCTCAGGGTGTACATATAACACATATATGGCAAACATTCAATGCCAATTTTGACATACAACTTATACAGACATACACAGAGGCTATTTAACTTTTTCTGGCCGCCAGGGGAGCTGTCGCTTTCATCGTCCATCTGCGACACTGATGAAGTATTTCCGCATTCCCCGCATGCTTTTTGCTGGAGTGCTTTGCTGGAGTCTTTTTTATGGCCTCATAAATTAGTTAATTTAGCCTCCCCACACAAGGTGGTACCTAATTTTCCTACTTGACAGATGCAACTGTCTTTCGGGTTGCAAAGGTCGACAACAGGCTACACAATTGGTTGGAAGCCCACTTCAACCCGGGCTGAATTATAAGGATGTTGAAGACATAAAGAAAAACAGACTTTCTGTGACTACGGTACATGCAATTAAACTTTGTCTCAGAAAGGCATCAGATACTCCTCAGCTGATCCTGCTGAAACAGTGTGGGCATGCCTACAACTGTCGAAGGCTTTCATGGTTGTTGTAGGTTTTTTCGGGCTGTTATGGCCATGTTCTAGAGGCATTCTCTCCTGACGTTTCGCCTGCATCTATGGCAAGCATCCTCAGAGGTAGTGAGGTCTGTTGGAAGTAGGAAAAAGGGTTTATATATCTGTGGAAAGACCAGGGTGAGACAAAGAACTCTTGTCTGCTGGAGCTAGGTGTGAATGTTTCAACTGACCACCTTGATTAGCATACAATGGGCTGACTGTGCCTGGAGCAAACATATTGTGAATTATCTGCTTTGATATTCTGGCTTACATGGCTGTGTGGAAGGGGCCTGGGACATAATGGAGCAATTCAGATAATAGAATCGTAGTTGGAAGAGACCTTTTAGTAATCTACATGTTCGCATCTGGCACCAACTGCTGCTCTGGGCCAGAGTGAACAGAGAGGGGGGCAGAAAACATCATGTCTCCTGTGCTTTACTAATAATATAATATATTGCATATACATATATTTATAATATTATAATGTAATACAATATAATACTTCCAAGAAGCAGCAAAATCACATTCAAAGCACCCCCGACAGATGGCAATCTAGTCTCTGCTTAAAAGCCTCCACCACGCTCCGGGGCAGAGAGTTCCACTGCTGAACGGCTCTCACAGTTAGGAAGTTCTTCCACATGTTCATAGAATCATAGAGTTGGAAGATATCTCATGGGCCATCAAGTCCAACCCCATTCTGCCAAGAAGCAGGAAAATTGCATTCAAAGCACCCCTGACAGATGGCCATGTAGACTCTGTATAAAAGCTTCCAAAGAAGGAGCCTCCACCACACTGCAGGGTAGTGTTCCACTGTTAAACAGCTCTCACAGGAAGTTCTTCCTAATGTTCAGATGAAATCTCCTTTCTTGTAGTTTGAAGCCATTGTCCCACGTCCAAGTCTCCAGGGCAGCAGAAAACAGCTTGCTCCCTCCTCCCTATGACTTCCTCTCACATATTTATACATGGCTATCATGTCTCCTCTCAGCCTTCTCTTCTTCAGGCTAAACATATCCAGCTCTTTAAGCCGCTCCTCATAGGGCTTGTTCTCCAGACCTCTTGATCATTTTAGTCCCTTCTCTGGACACATTCCAGCTTATATCCCAGGACCAAACTACAGGAAAAGAGATTCCACCAGGTGGAATCACTTTTCTTGTAGTTTGATCCTGGGATATAAAGCCTTGCCTGGAAGAGCCTACCTGAGAGCGAGACAGTGAGATATCTATATAAATAAAAATGTAATGTTCGTTTGTGGGATTAACATAACTCAAAAACCACTGGATGAATTGTCACCAAATTTGGACACAAGACACCTACTAACCCAAGGAGTGACCATCACTCAAAAAAAATGATTTTGTCATTTGGGAGTTGTAGTTGCTGGGATTTATAGCTAACCTACAATCAAAGAGCATTCTGAAATCCCCCAATGATGGAATTGAACCAAACGTGGCATACAGGACTCCCAAGACCAACAGAAAATACTAGAAGGGTTTGGTGGGCATAGATCTTGAGTTTGGGAAGTTGTAGTTCACCTACATCCAGAGAGCACTGTGGACTCAAACAATGATGGATCTGGACCAAACTTGGCATGAATATTCCATATGCCCAACTATGAACACAGATGGAGTTTGGGGGAATAGACATTGACATTTGGGAGTTGTATTCACTGGGATTCACAGTTCACATACAATCAAAGAGCATTCTGAACCCCACCAACGACAGAATTGGGGCAAACTTCCCACACAGAACCCCCATCACCAACAGAAAATACTTAGGTCATCCAATCCAACTCCCTTCACCAGGGCAAGAAAACGTAAACAAAGCCCTCCTGACAAAGAGCCATCCAGCCATATGCCTCGCAGGCACGTCTGGCGGAGACGGGAGACAGGGCCTTCTCTGTGGTGGCCCCCTGGCTGTGGAACTCCCTCCCTAGGGATATTAGATCAGCCCCCTCCCTCCTGACTTTCCAATAAAGAGTAAAAACTTGGCTCTTAGAGCAAGCATTCGGAACCCGGAGTAAACAGACAAACTAGAGTTGGAAATTGACCCAGGAATGGCCAAGACAATGTAACGGATGAAGATTTGAACGAGAGGACATAGTTTCTTTTTAAATTGTTTATTATGCACTGTCGTTTATGTTTAATTGCACTTGATGTTTTTGCTTTATTAATGTATGTAATTTGTTTCGGCATCGAATTGTGCCGACTGTGTATACCGCCCTGAGTCGCCTTCGGGCTGAAATGGGCAGGATAGAAATAATGTAAATAAATAAATAAATAAATAAAGCTAGATAGATATGATTCACACACAGAGAGATATAGATTTGAAAGGGATCCCTAAAGAAGAACAATGACATGTTCCATGCTCCAGAGTAGGCAAACCAGACACTCTCCACATCAACACTGACAAAGAAACAACAAGAAATACTGTTTACTCACAAGCATAAAGAAATTACATATATTAGAAACCAACACTTTCTCATTACTTTATTTTCCAGATCACCAGATTGGCCATAGCAACGCGTGGCAGGGGACGGCTAGTAAATACTATAAAATACGTAAACAAAGGGCAGCAGCTATTGTTTGCAGGTGCAACTGGTTCTCAAGGCCTGGAAGAATGGGTACTCCAGATGACAACACTGGGAAGGGGAGGATTGCAGAGCATGCTGGGAAATGTCACCTAAATAAAAAAAGGGAGGCTACTATGGGAGGTGGCAAGTTGGGGAGGATCTGGAAACGTTGCAATCCCAAAGTTGCAAACCCAAAAAAGGGCCCCTTGGATCCAAGCTCCCCAGGGACTCTCCTTCTCTCCCAAACCCAAACCAACCAACCCCAAACTCACCCCAAATCCTTCTCTCCCAAACCCAAACAAACCAACCCCAAATCCTTCTCTCCCAAACCCAAACCAACCAACCCCAAACTCACCCCAAATCCTTCTCTCCCAAACCCAAACAAACCAACCCCAAATCCTTCTCTCCCAAACCCAAACAAACCAACCCCAAAACTCACCCCAAATCCTTCTCTCCCAAACCCAAACAAATCAACCCCAAACTCACCCCAAATCCTTCTCTCCCAAACCCAAACAAATCAACCCCAAACTCACCCCAAATCCTTCTCTCCCAAACCCAAACAACCAACCCCAAACTCACCCCAAATCCTTCTCTCCCAAACCCAAACAAACCAACCCCAAATCCTTCTCTCCCAAACCAACCAACCCCAATCTCACCCCAAATCCTTCTCTCCCAAACCCAAACAAACCAACCCCAAATCCTTCTCTCCCAAACCCAAACAAACCAACCCCAAATCCTTCTCTCCCAAACCAACCAACCCCAAACTCACACCAAATTCTTCTCTCCCAAACCCAAACAAGGAAACCCCAATCTCACCCCAAATCCTTCTCTCCCAAACCCAAACAAACCAACCCCAAATCCTTCTCTCCCAAACCAACCAACCCCAAACTCACTCCAAATCCTTCTCTCCCAAACCCAAACCAACCAACCCCAAACTCACTCCAAATCCTTCTCTCCCAAACCCAAACCAACCAAACCCAAACTCACCCCAAACCCCTTCTCTCCCAAACCCAAAGAAGGAAACCCCAAACTCACCGCAGCTCTCCATCCAGGGCCTGGATGACGGCGGCGAAGCTGCGGCTGGTCTGGTTGAGATACTTGTAGCAGAGGCGGAGGCTGTGGCTGAGCGAGTCCTGCAAGAAGAAGAGCCCAGGAGGAGAAGGAGAAGGAGGAGAGGGCTTGGCGGCTGGAGGCGCCTCGCTCAGGAAGCGCGGCCGAGAAGGGGAGGCGGCTTGGAGGCGCACGAGGCTGCCCCCAGAGCCCAAGGAAGACCCCGGCGCCCCGTGGCTGCAACGCCCGGACCCCCTTCCTCCTCCTCGGGGCGGGGACAGGGCCAGCGAGCGCTTAAAGAAAGAGACAGCCGCCTTGGAAGCGGTGGCCATGGAGAGAAGGAGGAGCAGGGCGCGCCGTGCGTAAAAGTCGCCAGTGCGTAAAAGCGAGCAGGGCGCACGGCCAAGGCGCACGGCCAAAGTGGGCCTCCCAGGGCTGCCAAACAAGCCCAAGTCCCGGGGAAAACGGCTCCAGGGGGAAGGGGAAGCCCTGCCCCACCCCCTCGGCCCTTTCCCCGCTTCCTTAGTTCGCGAGAGAAGGGGAAAAGGCCTCCCAAACGACGCCCTCCATCCTCAGAGGTAGTGAGGTCTGTTGGAAGTAGGAAAAATGGGTTTATATATCTGTGGAATGACCAGGTGAGACAAAGGACTTTTGTCTGCTGGGGATAGATGTGAATGTTTCAGCTGATCACCTTGATTAGCATTCAATGGCTTAGAAGTGCGGGGGGGGGGGGGATCCCTTATTGAGAGTGATTTTATGTGCCTGTTTGTTTCCCCTCTGTTGTTTTGCTGTTGCTCATATTAGCCCAGTGGTGAAAAAAATGCATACAACAACCCATGTGTGATGTCCGGCCTATGGGAAAGCACAGACAATTTAAGGCCAAAATTAGGAATTTTGATATAACTCACATTCCTAATTTTGGCCTTAAATTTTGCCCTTGACAAATATATGAGGTCAATGAATATATGAGTATATATCAGGCATGGACAAACTTCAGCCCTCCAGATGTTTTGGACTTCAACTACTACAATTCCTAACAGCTCATAGGCTGTTAGGAATTGTGGGAGTTGAAGTCCAAACACCTGGAGGGCCGAATTTTGCTCATGCCTGGTATATATGGTATATACAAACCTTAAAACACAGCAGGGCCCACGTTTGCCCAACGCCAGGGAGCTGGCCCAAAACAAACACAATGAATATCAAGAGGGAGAAATTAAATGAATTACACTTAGGCAATCAAAATGAGGTGCAGAAAGCACGGATGAGCTCCCTCTGTCAGCTCCAGCTTGAGAAACTGCAAGTCGCTTCTGGTGTGAGAGCATTGGCCGACTTCAAGGGCATTGCCCAGAGGACACCCAGATGTTTGATGTTTTACATTCCTTGTGGGAAGATTCTCTACATGGGGAGCTGGAGCTGACAAAAGGAGCTCAACCCACTCTCCCCGGATTCGAACCACTGACCTGTCAGGTCAGCAGTCTTGCTGGCACAAGGGGTTAACCCACTGCACCACCAGGGGCTCCAATAATAATGAATAAAACTTTATTTATATCCCGCCCTATCTCGCCATAGAGACTCAGAGTGGTTTACAACAATTATCGACAAACATTCATTCTGTGAATATTGAAGAGCAACTCCTTGGTTTCTTTTTACAGTCTGAAAAATGATGACGGCAATAAAGCCCTTGTGAAAAATCACTTGGTGATTGTGGGATTTCTAGTGGGATGTCCTCATGGTGTTTGATTTTTCCCAAAGTGGGGCAATTTGATTTTTAAGGGGAGCAATTCGTTAAAATTATATACAGATAATATTTATAATATTATAATGTAATGCAATATAATACTACTAATAATAATATATTATAATTATATATTTATATTACATGTAATATTACTAATAATATTACAATATAATGGTATAGTGCAATATAGTAATATTTAGCAATTCGTTAAAATTATATACATAGAATATTTATAATATTATAATGTAATGCAATATAATACTACTAATAATATATTATAATTATATATTTTATATTACATGTAATATTACTAATAATATTACAATATAATGGTATAGTACAATATAGTAATATTTAATACTGATATTGTACTATGCTAATAATATAATATATTGTGTGTGTGTATATATATGTATGTATATGTATAGTTCGTTATCTGTTGCCTGTTGTAATGCCGCTCTGAGTCCCCTTTCGGGTGGTGAGAAGGGTTGGATGTATGTAAATAACATGAGGCCAAGCCTGAACAAAAATTACAAAATAACAAAACCACCCAAATTCCCATCTCATATGACCAAATTCACCGTCTTTCCCATCAATGTAGAAATTATGACTATTATTGTTCCCCCTTTGAGTGCAGAGCGATATATGTTACCTTATAACTGTTTTGCACTATTTAAACACTCATTGGCTAAGCAATGTTTGGTTTATCTGTATACTTGGTTCAGTCCTGTACTTAGCCATTGGTATCAATTGTTGTAATCTCACAGTTTGTTTTTTGTTTGTTGTCTTGTTTAAAAAGGACTCTTTTGAATGTTTCAACTGACCATCTTGATTAGCATACAATGGGCTGACTGTGCCTGGGGCAATCTTTTGTTGAGAGGTGATTAGATGTCCTTGTTGTAGGTTTTTTCGGGCTACTTGGCCATGATCTAGAGGCATTCTCTCCTGACGTTTCGCCTGCATCTATGGCAAGCATCCTCAGAGGTAGTGAGGATGCTCACTAGCCACAGATGCAGGCAAAACGTCAGGAGAGAATGCCTCTAGACCATGGCCATATAGCCCGAAAAAACCTACAACAACCCAACCTTTCAAATCTTCAGATCTCACGATCAGGGATGATGCTAGTAACCAGTTAACCTCATGGCGCTCATCTGTATTTTCCACTAAAAAAAATAGCTAGCCCCTCATGTTTCAACCTGCTGGATTTCATGTTTCATCATGCTGGAATTTATTTAACTTTCTAAAATATTTTATTTTTACAATATTACATTCTTACATTTTCCCTGCATCATGTCACATTCATTCAACTATGTTTTATACCCTGAATTTGTCATTGTTGGTGCGATGGCCGAGTGGCCATCTGTCAGGGGTGCTTTGAATGCAATATTCCTGTTTCATAGCAGAGGGTTGGACTGGATGGCCCATGAGGTCTCTTCCAACTCTATGATTCTATGGTTGCTCTTATATTCTGCTCTGCTGTGTTTTATTCTGTTTTATGCTGTTGTTTGTGTACTTCAGTGTGTAATATTTTAATTACATTGATCAGGCTTGTCCCCATGTAAGTCACCCCAGTTCCCTCTGGGGAGATGGAGGCGGGGAACAAAAATAAGGTTGTTATTGTTATTATTATTATTATTATTATTATTATTTTAAAACACCTTTTGTGTACATCACAGATGTACACAAAAACATATGAAGTCTTGCAATTTTTTGGCAACAGAGTTGGACAGAAAGGAAATCCTTTATGCACCCTTGACTCGTGAACCACAACTTCCACCTCTAATCCCTATACTAGGGGTCCTCGAACTTTTTAAACAGAGGGCCAGGTCACAGTCTCTCAAACCGTTGTAGGGCCAGATTATAATTTGAAAAAAAAAAACATGAATGAATTCCTATGCACACTGCACATCTTATTTGTAGTGCAAAAAATACTTTAAAACAATACAATAATTAAAATGAAGAACAATTTTAACAAATATAAACTTATTAGTATTTCAATGGGAAGTGTGGGACTGCTTTTGGCTAATGAGATAGGATTGTTGTTGTGCGCTTTCAAGTCATTTCAGACTTAGGTTGACCTTGAGCGAGGGCCGGGTAAATGACCTTGGAGGGCCGTATCCAGACCCCGGGCCTTAAATTGAGTACCCCTGCCCTATACAATCCATGGGGTTACCACAAATCCACAGGTAGCTTGAAGCTACACACACAGTTGAGAGGAGGGAGAAAGATAAATTGTGAGTTTACACAACTGGCATCCTGGTCCCAATTCATAGGCCATCTGAACTGGTGTAATGTGCATTTTTCAGATACTGGAGTTACTAGCAACAACAATTATAGGAATAACAGAGGGCCTTTCCACACAGCCCTATATCCCAGAATACCAAGACAGAAAATTCCACATTATCTGAGTGTAGACTCATAACCCAGTTCAAAGCAGATATTGTGTGATTTTCTGCCATGATATTGTGGTATATAGGGCTGTGTGGAATTGATTCAGTATATAGGGCTGTGTGGAATTGATTCAGTATAAAGACTGCAAGGACAGAGACTAAGGCCCCTTCCACACAGCTGTATAAAGTCATAGAGTTGGAAGAGCCTCCACCACACTCCAAGGCAGAGAGTTCCACTGCTGAATGGCTCTCACATTTAGGAAGTTCTTCCTCATGTTCATAGAATCATAGAGTTGGAAGAGACCTCATGGGCCATCCAGTCCAACCCCCTGCCAAGAAGCAGGGAAAATTGCATTCAAAGCATCCCCTGACAGATGGCCATCCAGCCTCTGTTTAAAAACCTCCAAAGAAGGAGCCTCCACTACACTCCGGGGCAGAGAGTTCCACTGCTGAACAGCCCTCACAGTCAGGAAGTTCTTCCTAATGTTCAGATGGAATCTCCTTTCTTGTAGTTTGAAGCCATTGTTCGTCCTAGTCTCCAGGGAAGCAGAAAACAAGCTTGCTCCCTCCTCCTTGTAACTTCCTCTCCCGTATTGGCTATCATGTCTCCTCACAGCCACACTGAACTTGATTATATGGCAGTATGGACTCAGATAATCCAGTTCAAAGCATATATTGTGTATTATCTGCCTTGATATTCTGGGTGACATGGCTGTCCCTAAGAACTAAACTGAAAGGGGAGGAAAAGAGGTGGGAGCAAGGTGAAACAAAAACACATGAACTTACCTGTTCCATCTTGGGCATCACAGCCTTGTAACCTCCCATCTTGAACTTCACCAAGTTGTAGAGCTCTTCGGGGTGACCCAGCCATTTCTTCAACACCTCCATGGTCTCAGGTTGGCAAAGTTTGGGCAGGCTGGAAAAGTGAAAGCAGCAGCATGATTCAATCTGATGGGGAATAATTCCCTAAGTCATCCTTTCCCACCAATACCAACTGCCATTCCTTTTAATCATTCTATTCATAGAGTGCAGCTACACTGTGGAACTCATGAAGTTTGACACCATTAGGCTCAATGCAAAGAGAGTTGTAGTTTAGTGGAAGGAAAGGCTAAAGACCAGGAGCCACATGGCTTAATGCAACGAGAGTTGTAGTTTAGCGGAAGGAAAGGCTAAAGACCAGGAGCCACATGGCTTAATGCAACGAGAGTTGTAGTTTAGCGGAAGGAAAGGCTAAAGACCAGGAGCCACATGGTTAAATGCAACGAGAGTTGTAGTTTAGCGGAAGGAAAGGCTAAAGACCAGGAGCCACATGGTTAAATGCAACGAGAGTTGTAGTTTAGCGGAAGGAAAGGCTAAAGACCAGGAGCCACATGGTTAAATGCAACGAGAGTTGTAGTTTAGCGGAAGGAAAGGCTAAAGACCAGGAGCCACATGGCT